TCTCTCGCAGAGACGAGGGTGATAAACGGTACGGGGCCCATAGCAGTCGAAAAGACTGACAAGGTCAGCGACCTGGGTATTGTCATCCATGGTTCATTCCATTCTACAAGACAGTGTCAGCAGGCCTCAGCAAAGGCTTCCGAGGCGCTGTTCTTGCTAAGGAGGACAGTTGCATCTAGGGACCCTGCAGTGTTACTGCCCCTCTACATGGCCCTGGTGATACGCCACCTCGAGTATTTCGTGCAGGCATGGGCGCCGAAACTTGTACGTGACCAAGAGGCTCTAGAACAAGTACAGAGACGCTTCACTAGGTTTTTTCCTGCCTTGAGGACGATGCCGTACAGGAGGCGCCTGAGAGAGCTAAACTTGTTCCCCTGTCTCACAGGCGAAGGAGAGGTGACCTAATAGAGATTTTCAAGATACTGAAAGGACTCTCAGCCTAGCAGGCAACTGTTCTCCCTCAGTGAAAACCCAGCCTTAAGAGGACACCAGCTGAAACTGGCCAAACCTCGGGCGTTAAAGACAGGAAGAGCGAACTACTACTCTCATAGAGTCGTCAACGCCTGGAACAGACTTCATGATGAGGTTGTCTCAGTATCCACGTTGGAACTCTTCAAAAAAGGGCTTTATGGGGTGTGGGACGAAGTATTCCCCGGATCAGCCTAAAGAAAAAAGATCGACAGTCCCTGGTGGTAATTATATCTCCAACTTTCCCCAGAACAGGTCCCCTTCCATATTGTTTTTTATTGACTACACCATCCGTTATACTTCGACTACTTTCTCCTCACCTGTCTTAATCCCTCTCTCCGCACCCTCCTCCCCGTACTAGCATACTCTTCTTTTCTCACCTTAACCTATTTTCGCATGCCTGAGGGTTCCATACTGTTTGCTGGAGGGGTACTCGGACCTCCTGGTTAGCCTGTGACTGATCGGTTGGTACTGCTTTCATCGACAACAAACCGAATTGGCGTCCCTGCTCCGCGGCAGTACCATTACACCACCAAGGACCGATCAACCCACTGTCGTAGCGTTTCGAGACACCCGTGGCCCGTAAACGCAAGAACCTGGACTACCTTACTGGCTCAAGCCGCAAGTCCTGTGAACTGTCCTGTCCTGTCCTGTCCCTGGCGAGATAACAAATTCATGTCAAAATATAGGGTTAATAGGGATTTTAAGACAGGACAACGGTCCGCTTTAAGGCGGAAAACTATTAAGGGAACATTCTGCAATGTAGTTCATTTCAGCCGGCCATTTGCGCGTCACTAGCCGATTGATGGGCTACAAATGCGCGGTGTTGAATTTGTTTGTGGTTGTTGATCGAGTTGTAACAAATGCTTCGGCATCCATCCTTCCCGCAATCTTTTCGAACACATCATGGACCATGTATTTCTTTGACTGTATCACTTTTACATTCTTCTCAATAACGTTGACTCGAGCGGCTGGAGTGGAACTCCGCTATTTTTGAGACGCTGCTTGATTTGTTTTTATCGTGATTCTCGGACATTGTGACCCT